GAGAAACACTAGGTCTAGGTCCTAGACCTGGGAGAATACCAATGTGATAATTAACACAAGTCCCTCTGCGCAGAGAAACAGGTTTCCAGGTGTTTGTACTGACATTTTTTTTTTCTGCTTGTGGAATGAACAGCATGCAACACTAGCAAGGTGAAAATAGCCTTAGTAATTGCAGCTACTTAGCAGCACTATTTTGCTAATGTTCTTATAGAGGGTAATTTGTTTTGTCTAATTTATCCAAGGTTTGGGATTCCAAACCACTGATCTGACTGAAGGCAAGCGACTTGGATCCCAGGACTAACCCAACACACTTATCTTTGATCAGTGTGTTCTGTTAAATGGTATTCCAAAACCATAAGGTTTTGCAGCTCAGACACAGGTATTTTTTTTTTTAACAGAGATAAGATGGATTAAATAATAGCGTTAGAACTAAGGAGTTCAGTGTCTGAAATGTAAACTTCTCTAAACTTAACAGAATGAAGCTAACAAGGAAAGAATCTGCAAACTTGTAAAGTGTCCCTTTTTATTGTTTCCTCACCCACATTTTGTGTTTCTTGGTATCTTACTGTTTCCAACTGGGGTTTCTTTCTCATTTGTAGGAACACAAATATTTTTTGGAGGGCTTGCTTGATGACTTTCAGATGTCTGAGAGCTTGCTATTTCTCTTTCAAATCTGATAACTGGTTAGAGATTTTAGGTTTGAGGTCTTTTCTCAGCATTTTGTATGCATCCTGCCACCCTCTTTTGGCCTGTAGAGCATCTGTGGAGAATCAGCTGAAAGTCTTTTTTTTTTTTTTTTGTAACCCGGGCGATGCACAGGAGTTACTCCTGGCTCACGCACTCAGAAATTACTCCTGGCGCTGCTCGGGGGACCATATGGGATGCTGGGAATCAAATCCAGGTCGGCTGTGTGCAAGGCAAACACCCTACCCGCTGTGCTGTGGCTCCAGCCCCTCAGCTGAAAGTTTTAAGGAGGATCCTTCATAAAGAATTCTTTTTCTTGTTGCTTTTAGGACTCTCTCAGTACATAGAGGGTTTGCTAAATGTTAAACAAAAGAAAAATCCAGGCATAAGGAGACCTCAATGGTTCAGACATGTTCAAATGTCAGTTGTCTCAAATAGCTTAGTGTATGGACCACTCAATCATATTTACTACAAATTCCAGTTTGAAAATTAAAGTTAAATAATGGATGTGATTAACATTCTAAAATTTATGAATAGTGGGGCTCCTTTTCTATGATAATTCTACCTTAATTTATTTCTACATAATCTACATCTCAGCCCCGGGACCCGCATGCCTGGGTTCCTCTGCCAGTTCTTTTATGCATGAGGCTTGTCCGGACGTGTGGAGAGTGGTCTCAGTATGGCCATGGCTGGCTCCGGAGGTTCTCAGCTGCTGGGGCTCTGCAGGGCGGGGGGGGGGGGGCGGAGGGAAACTCAACCCGCTCCCGTCCAAGGGGGCCCGGTGAGGACAGCCAGGAGCGGGAGAAGGAGACTCTGAGATCTGAGGCTGAGATCTCCAAGCCTGCTCGAATTGGGACTGGGCCTTCTCCACCCAGACCCCCCATCTTCCAGTAGGTAGGCGTCACACCCACCAGCTGTCACCAGTGCCAGGTTGGTCCCATCAACGGCCAAGATGCAGAGACTATAAAACCCAGCTCCTGGAAGCGTGCAGCTGCAAATGCGGCCATGTGACATCTTATTATCTCTTTTTTCCTTTGGAGAACCTGGCAGGCTACAAAAAGTATCCTGCCCACACAGCAGAGTCTGGCAAACTTCCCGTGTCGTATTCAATATGCCAAATACCAGTAATAATGATGGGTCCCATTCTCCTAACCCCAAAAGAGCATTTAAATGGCTCTTTTAAAATCTCAGGGCTAGGAAGAAGACGTTACTGGTGCCTGCTCAAGACAATCGATGAACAACAGGATGATCGTGATCGTAATCTACATCTAGCATGTTACTTTGTGAATTGGAATTGCAGGTTGTCATGTGCTTAATAAATTTGGAATTTGGTACTAATAGTTATAACTAGTTTGATGGTTTTCCAGAACACTGTATTTATTTTTTAAATTTATTTTTGTGAAAGATGCTCAAGGATTGAGATGCTCAAGGACCTGGGGGACCTTGCTATGATACTTGGTGGTATAGTTTGTTGCTTGTTCTTGACAATGTGTTTCTTCTCTGGCTCAGTGCTGCTGGGGGTCACCAGGACCACACCCAGCACTGCTGGACTATGTGGCGCTAGGGATCAGACTTGGGGTCTTATGCATCAAAGTCATGCCCTTTACCACCTTGGACTGTCTCCCTGGCCATTGATTTTTATATTTTTTTGCTTTTGGGGTCACACCTGGCAATGCACAGGGGTTATTCCTGGCTTTGCACTCACAATTACTCCTAGCAGTGCTTGGAGGACCATATGAGATGTGAGATGCCAGGAATCGAACCTGGTCAGCCAAATGCAAGGAATTAAATGCCCTACCCATTATACTATCGCTCCAGCCCCGATTCGTATTTTTTTTTTTTAAGGAAGTGAATTTAAAGCTACAAATTAGTATAGTCTTCTTCTTTGTTCAGCATAATATAATTTGAAAAAGAATCTTTTTAATATGGCAGTTTGTTATCTCTGGTTTTTGGAATTTAATGTTAGTGTCCTTTATTCCCTTAAGAAACATCTTCCTTTTTCTTTTCAAGAATATAAATGAGATTTTTACACTTGGAAAAACACATGTGTATGCGAGGGTCTGGGTGTATCCCTTGCACCAAAGTAATGAATAAAAATTAAAACACACACACACATTGGGTCTAATTTTATTAAAATTTTTCTCAAATTTTATTATATCTTAAAGTTGTTCCAAAATATAGTGACTTCTATAATAGCATTTATCTAATCCATTATATATTTCTGGTGCATTTATATTCTGGAGTCAGACTGCTTAGCTATAATTATCAGCTCTGCTACTTACTAACCATACTCTTTTTGGCAAACTAAACTTTCTTCATCTGTAAATAAGAATATTATCTATGTCATAGTAACTATGTTCCCCTGAGCACTGACGGCAGTAATCCCTGAACATAGAGCCAGGAGTAAGCCCTGAGCACTGCTTGTTGTGGCTCAAACCCTGGCCCCATTGCCTATCCCACCCTCCCAAAGATTAAATTTAGAACCTCAAAGAGGAGATACCTCAAAGCCCAAGAGTACATAACTTGTATGTGGAGATCAAATGTTTGATTCCCAATACCCCATGTCCCTCACAGAACTGCTGGGTGTGGCCCTAATGGCTTAGAGCACCTCTGGCCAAAGTAGCACCTCTCACTCAAGCACTGAAACTTCAGGCCCGCAGAGTTGGGCTGAGTATCACTGGGAGGAGTCCTAGAACATTGCTTGGGAGGCACCCCTTCAAACTTTAATTTTTAAATGTCTTATTTATGTATATTTTGGTTATAGTTTAGGTAATCTGGTTACAGTAGTATTAGCAGTTTAGTTCTGATGTACAAAAAATTATTGCATCACCAAAGTGCCCATGACTCTCCAAGTTTTTTTCTTTTCAAATTTTATTAAATTTACATGTTAATAATAGTGTTGACATTTATAGTTTTAGTGCACAGCTACCTTGCCTTACCCTGAGCAAGTTTCTCCACCAATTCCTGTGTATCACTTCTAATCTAACTCATCAAGCATCCTCCCCATTCCCCTTTATCCTGGTGGTCTCAGTTCCGCAATCTAGTGCTCAGGGGTTTTCAACTGATCAGTCATTACCTTTGTTTTGCTTCTCTGTAAGTATACAGGTGAGACCATCTTTCATCTTCATTCCCCACTCCCATCCCCCGTCCCAGCTTATTTCACCCCGCACATTACCCTACAGTTTCATACAAGCGCAGTGTGCTGCACTGTTTGATAGTATTTCATTGTGTGTATATATGCCACACTTCTGAATCCATTCAGCGGTAGTTGGACACTTGAATTGTACTCGTATGTTGGATATTGTACAAGTACAGCAGTGAACATAGGTGTACATATATCTTTTTGTTTGTTTTGGGGCCACACCTACCCAGCGGTGCTCAGGTATCATTTCTGGTGGGCTCAGGGAACAACATGGGGTACCTGGGATTGAACCCCAATTAGCATACTTGCAAGTACTCTACCCCCTAGTCTATCTTTTATGCCCCTATCCATGTAAATTCTCCTTTCTCTTCCTTTGTTGTCTTTGTGATGGATAGAGATTCACCCATACACCTGACTATGATGCTCACGTATTTAGTGTGGTTCTTGCTGAGGTCACACATCAGATTATAGTGCTCACACACTCAGCAATGATACTAGCTGAGGGTTATATTTCTTTAGTTGTGCCATTTGCACTTGTGCTCATACCTGGAGTTTTTTGTGGTACCAGGATTGAACCAAGGTGTCATCATGTAAGACAAATAGTTCAACTCCTAAGACCATATCCCTGGCCCTAGAAACTGAACTCTTAGTTAAAATGCTCACATACATTCTGGTTGTATTGTAATTCTCACCAGGGTTTTCTGTCATATTCACCAGGTATTGGCCTTTCTTGGTGCTGGACATCTTTACTTGCAGTACTCATGGGGAAAGGGAGTGTCATACCCCTTTTTTTATTTAATTCTAGTGCTTGCATAAAACTGGCTACAATTCAGTCACAAATTGTTTTTGGCAGTGGGGAATCACAATAGAACTGGTAGGTAGAGTGGTAGAGCTGCCAAGATAACACTAGGTGTATGTCGTAGTACTGGGGACTGAACCTCTCAATTATGCTCAATTATGCTTATAAGATGGACATTTTAAGCCAGTGAGCCACCTGGCTCACTGAAAGACATTTCTGTAGTACCTCAAACACTTTGGCCTTTAAGTGTCCTAAGGTCTTACACTTCTTTCACTTTAGAGCTCATTTGGTCTGCCTCTTCCTGCTTGTCTAAAAACCTAAAACATTAGCTTTGTGAATACAAAATTTCAATGAGAATCATACCAGTATGAATAAGATTGTTGTAAAAAAAAAATTTCACATTCATTCAAAATAGACGGTGTGAATACCTGCACCAGATTGTCTTCAGTCGAACCAAGAAGGAAAGAAATGAGTAAGGACTTGAAAGATATTTGACAGAACTCCACAAATAGGATATGTAGGGTGATAAAAAGACCACAAGATTTCCAGGTTAATCAACTGAACGCAATTTGATGTGCCAGTTAACAAACAAGTGAAAGGATAGAATAGATTACACAAAACAAACTAATAACCAGCAGTGGTCCTTAATCTGTGTACCTAAGTATAAATGTGCTTACTATCATAATCACTACATAGTTTTAAGTAACTAACTTAAACAAACAAATACATTACTTGTTTTTAATTATTTCAGAAGGAAACAATTTAAATTCAAGACAAGAATACCAGGTCCTGCTACTTCCAGAGAGTGAATAAACTTGTCTAGAGTGAGTCTCTGAAATTCCTGTTCTAAGTAGGCAACCTGGTAAATATGACGCAGAGAGTTCAAGTGCTATACTTTGAAAAATACTAATATATAGAAGATAAATATTTTAACTGAGATTTTATCCAAGCATGTTGAGATTCTAGACTATAGAAACATGTTTTAAATAAGTTACATGGTTTAAGTAGAAAATGCATTTTCTTTATTCAAGTTCACTTTTTGTATATTTTTAAATGACACAAAATTATAGCAAAACCAATTATCAATTTCATTACATTCCACTTCAAATTCTTTGAAATTTACCAAAATATTGGTTTTTTTTAAATAAAGCTTACTATTTTGTCTACTAATAAAGGCTACTGATCTATATCTTTTTGTGTTTCTTCAAAAATTAGAATAGTTTATGAGAATATTATATAAAATTAATTGGTATATTACACACCAAACATAAGTACAGATTCTGTACAATACAACAGTATACATGTATATTATAAGAAACTTAAGTCCTTATTAGAAGTAACAGTTTAAGGTATCTTTCATGGAAAAAAACGCATCAATGTATGGTAGTTTGAGTATCCACTGCTTTCCACTCATGAATTTCTTTCAGTGGGCATTAACTGTCCATTTAACTTCATTAACAGTTTAACCACAAGGCCAGCCTACAAAGTGAAACACAAAAATAAAAATAAAATACATATGAATGTGGTAAATGACATAATGTAGCAGTTCCCTATTCTATCATACACCTAAATTATTGTTCTATTTTAAAATAGAATATTTTGGAATATTCTATTATAAAACATTATTCTATTCTATTTCTAAAAATTCAAGGAGTATTTATTCATGCTTTGGATGGATTTTAATAAGTCATCTGTTGAATGCAACTAGTGGCTCAGATAGATTACTGGTCAAGAAGAGGGATATGTTTCAGTAATAACGTAAATGTCTTGCATGCTTGAGACCTGGGCTTGACTCCTAGCAACGCAGAAATTAGAAAAAAAAAAAGTTACACAAGAGGCACTGTCAACCCAATACTCTGAGAGAAGAGAAAACAAAAACTGATCAGGAAAAGGAAATGACAGGAAAGAATTTTATGTTATAAAACTAAAATTATTTAGGAAAGTTTCTGGCTTTCTTTAAGAAATAACTGCTTTTCTCCCGTGGTCTTAAATATTTAAATTTATAAAATATTAGAAGTTCTTTAAAATAAAAATTATATATATTACAAAGAACTTTACTGCCAGGACTGTAACTCAGTAGCACAGCACATCCCTCCCCTGTGTGAGATACTAGGTTCAATCCCTAGCAGTGCCAAAAAAAAAAAAAAAAAAAAAAAGAGAAAGGTATAACTTTACTAATACAGTAATTCATTATTAAAAGTTCAAATTAAGACTCAGCAGTGAATTTGGGAAGACAGCAGCTTGCCGGAGATTTCTTGGGATCCCGTGCTGAGCCGATTTCACTGGGGAACCTTAGATGGAGCAGGCACCCTCTCTCCGCCCACTCTAGATGAACACAAACTTCCAGAAGAAAAACCCAGGTATGTGGGAATATACCATCTCTTCCTATCTCCCCGCCCCTTCAGGGTCCTGGCTCTCGCACCCACAAACTGCCTCCTGGTGCCATTTGAGCTCATTAACAGCCTAGATCCAGAGACTCACAAGTGAATCTCAAAACGGGTTAGCTACAGAGGTATCTCCAGACCCCAGTCATTTACAATTTTAGAATTCCAGGAGCATGTGGCTACTTTTGTGGCCACACAATCTCTCATGATATTCATAATAAGCAACAGAATATAAACTATCTAGCAACTGCCTGTGGTGGGAAAATTTGAAATAATGGTGGTGGGACTGGTGTTGAAATATTGAATGTAATCAATGTGAACAACATTATGAAAATAAAATTTAAACATTAAAAAAAGTTCACATTAATTGATAAGTACTTACCTGTTTTGTGTGTACTATAAAGCTCATTTTATTTTCCATACTATGAATCTGAAAACAAGTATCGGCATCTCCTAACTGCCACATGAAACAACCATACTTAAGACTGATGAGTAAAGCCTGAAATATAATTAGAAATCATTATATTAAAATACATACTGAAAATACTTACCTTTTTTTATTAGCCACACTTATCTAATCAGGTCTAAACATAGTCCTTGAGTGTTACAAGAGTCTATTCACTGTCAGCGCCCACACTAACCTCACAGTCTACAGTACAGAGCCACTGAGATGGTAGATCCCAGGAGAATGCCTTGAGCAATGACACTCTTTGTATCAGACTGATATAATTTTTAAAGATGCTCATTCTGTGATATATTAAAATACACACACACGAGAAAGAAAATCATAACATCTGCAACAACAAAAGGGCAGACATAGAAATAATAGAATTGTGATTGCTAGAGGTGGTAGGGGAACAAGATGTTGTCAAGAATACAAACATCTACTAATATGGGTCTAATACAGAACATGAAAATTAGAGTTAACAATACTGTCACTGTCACTGTCCTCCCATTGTTCATCAATTTTCTCGAGCGGGCCCAGTAACGTCTCCATCGTGAGACTTTGTTGTTACTGTGTTTGGCATATTGAATACATCACGGGTAGCTTGCCAGGCTTTGCCGTGTGGGCGAGAGACTCTCGGTAGCTTGCTGGACTCTCAGAGAGGGCCGGATGAATCGAACTCAGGTCGGCCATGTTGGCTACATGCAAGGCAAATGCCTTACCTGCTGTGCTATCGCTCCAGTCCATAGTTAACAATACTGTATCATATACTCTAAAAGAGAATAGATCTTTTTTCTTCTTTTTTTGGCGGGGGGAGCACTACTGGGTAGTGCTCAGGAGCAACTCCCAGCTCTGGGATGGCAGGACTACAATTCACCAAGTACCATCAGCAGAAAACCCTGAACACAGTTGGGTGTGGTACAAAAACCCCAAAGCAATTCCTTCTTTATCAGTACCTTTTGAATATTCTCATATAAGATGAACAGCTGAACAGTGTGGAACTTTCAGAATTCACTTGATAGTTCTAAGAGCTCAGTGTGCTCCAGAGGAAAAGCAGGTCCTCTTATTTATTTATTTATTTATTTATAGGATAAACTTATAAAAGATGAGGTTCTAAGTGAGGGGAGTCAACAAAGCTCAAGCACAATGCCAGAGATGGCTGAGAGCAGAAAAGGGAAAATCAGAGAAGTCAGAAGTAGCACACAGGAGAAATGATCCTAATTGAAATAACGATCATTAAAAATGGCACTGTGGGGGCTACAGAACTAAGTACATGTAAGGCATGTGCTTTAAAGTAGCCGACTGGGTTGAATTTCCTGTACCCCATATTGTCTCAGTTTACCAGGAGTGATTCCTGAGCACAGTTTGGTATGTGCTTTTAAGTGTGTTGTGTAACTATGTTCAAAAAGTTCTCAGTATTTTGTTGCTAAAACATTGCTAACTATATAATAAGCTAGAGTCATCAAGAAAGTTGATAAGGCAGATGTTCGAATAGGTCACCGCGGCCACAGGGGGCATGCGATCAGCCCGAGGTTATCTAGAGTCACCAAGAAAGCTGATAGGGCAGACGTTACCATCTGGATTCCACAGGACATCAAAAGATCACATGGCTGCCCACCTAAGAGACGGTCAGACTTCTTTGTGAAGACCCTGAACCATTGGTTTGAGGCTCTTCAAGTTCCTGGAGCGAGCAGACGCCAGTGGGCTATACTAGCACACAACAGGGATGAATGGAGACGTTACTGGCGCCTACTCGAGCAAATCGATGAGTAACGGGATGTCAAGTGATCAAGTGATATAATAAGCTAAAAAATGCTAATCATCACCTAAACCTTCAGGGAGTTGTAACATTTTTAGTTAGGGAAGGATCTTGCCTATAGTTAATGCTGACAGATCAGGGTGGTGATTATGTATCTATTTGACATACCTGTAGCAGTTGCTTATTTGTTGCCAACATAACACTACAGATACAAGGGGAAAAAAAAGTTTCTTAGAGCTTTATTCCTGTCTAAGGACAGCTCTGACTGAGGAAAAAAAGTCAGTAATGACCTTTTGTAGGGATTGGAGGAATAGTACAACTGGAGTTAGATCTCTAGGGTCACCGTTATATGATTCCCTGAACTCTACCTAGGAATGATCCATAAGTAAAGAGCAAAGAGTAAGTCCTGAACAGTATGGGGTTTGACCCCCCAAAAACTATAAAGAAAAAGATAAAACAAAATCCTGAAATATTCTTCTGAGGCATCCAATGCTATTTAGCCACAGAACTTTCAAAACTGGAGTCAATGCTCTAAAACTTGTTTGCTACTTTACCAACTACGTAGTATTTTTAATCCTCTGTTGTAAATTCAACAATGTTCACAGCATCTTCAAGAACAGATTTCATCTCAAGAATTCACTTCACTTTGTCATTGATTAAAAAAGCAACCCTTTCTCTATTCAGCTTTCAGTATGAGATTACATCAATTTAGCATATCTTCAGGCTCCACTTCTAATTCTAGTTCTCTAATTGTTTCATAACTGCATTTTACTCCATAAAGTCTTATATCTTTCCTACTTAAGGTCATCAATGAAGAATGCAGTTCATTTCTTTCAAATGCAATTAACTTCTTTCAAATAATGTTGATTATTTTGACCTCTTCTCATGAATCACTTATGGTTCTTCAATGGCATCTAGTATGGCAAATTTGGGGGGGGTGGTTATTTGTTGTTGTCAAGATCCATCACAGAAATCATTATTTTTGGCAGCTATAGCCTAATAAAACATTTCTTAAATAATGAGACTGAAAAATTTTAAATGACTCCTTGGTTTATAGGCTTGCAAAACATATATGTGTTAGCATGAATAAAAATATTAATCTCCTACACATTTCCATGAGAGCTCTTGGCTGACAAGATGCATGTTAAATGAAAAGTAGTATCTTGATGGGACTCATTTTCTGAGCGACAATTCTCAACAGTGAGCTTGAAATAGTAAGCCATGCTGTAAATGAATGTACTGTCATATAGAATTATCTGTAGAACAAAGGCAGAAAAGACTTAGCATATTTCTTATGTCCCAGTATGTGTGCACCCATTGGTGCTTAGGGCATACTCCTGGCTCAGTGCTCAGTAATCACATGCAATGCTGGGTATCATATTCAGGTCAGCTCTATGCCAGGCAAGTGCCTTACCAAGGGTTCTATCTCTCTTGCCCAGACTTAGCATATTATTTAAGGGAACCTACAGATGGCTGAAATGGTAAACACTGACTTTTACTTAGTCAGTAGCTGCATTAGCCTGTTCTTTGAAGCTGGACTGACTTTTCTGTGTGGCAGTTTTTTTTTCCTTCATCTTTTTCATCTTCAGTGAAAACCTTCTGTTTATCAGTGCCACCTTCATCAATGATCTTAACTAGATCTTATTGGATAACTTGCTGCAGGCTTTCACTTCAGCATCTGTTGCTTCACCTTCCTGTTCTGTGATACAGAGATGGCTGCTTTCCTTAAATCTCATGAATCGAACTCAACAAACTTTTCATCTGGACCTTCCTCACAAGCCTCAGACTTGTTTTTATAGAATTAGAGCTTCTTCTGAATTAGGTTTTGGCATAGAGACAAACAGATTGTTCTTACCTCTAATGATTAAAGAAAATAGAATCGTTGTCAAAAATTTATCAGCAGTTTACAGATCATAAGGTAAAGACCAAAAGGACAGAAAATTATTGGCTGGATACTACATACATACTTTTTATTGCTTTCTAAATGTAGAATGGTTCCAAATGTCAAATATAAACTACTGCTTAGAGAAAGGTTGTTACAGCATCACTAATCAGTCCAATGGAGGACTGCCATAATATGCTCTGAAATAGTAATCCCATTTTGTGTTGAGTAAATGTTTTAAACAGAAAATTATAAGCAATAACCCCAAAAAAGCAAGCTGATATTTGAAACTATAAAAATCAAGTCATTTCATTTTTGAAGTCACTAGTTATATATATTCCTACATATTCCTTATGTCCTTTCATATGCCTATCTAACTGTAGTAAAATCACTGTTGTTTATAAGGTTCCTGAGTTACTAGGAAATGACTAAGATATGATGGGTTAGTCAGAGGTTATGAGATTACGTAGTAAAGCATCATAAGTTTAAATTAGATTTATGATAAAGTACCTGATGTTAAATGCCCTTTCAAAATATGTATAACCTTAATTACTATAACTGATTTGGAAATGATCTATTCTTGACTAATCTAAATGAAGAAAACAAATTTTATTTGTTATTATAAAAATAGAAAGCTATTATGAATAAGAATCTTTCATTAAACTAGAGTGGTTATATGTGCTAGATATGCTAATAATAATCCTCATTTTATAATATAGTGACTTTGATTAGAAAAAAGTAATTTACAATTGCAATGAAAAACTTCTGACTGAAAAGTCTGAAATGTCTTAATGAGTATTCACAGTTTCCACACTGCATCCTGTTTTCCAAAAGATTTCTATCAGCAACTATAACTTTCACCTTCATGTCAGATACTGTATTTAATTCACTATTTTATTTTAAAATAAGGGTCACATCCAGTGATGCTTGGTGGGGGTGGGACTGGGCAGTGCAGGGGCTATACCTAGTGATGCTGGCCCAGTGATACAGGCCTGATGGTTCAATGCACAGCTAAGGACCGTACTTGGGGCCATCACAACCACCTCAGTGATGATGAGTGACAGTGTCTTAAGGTTCCAAGGATCAAACTCAGGACTTTGTACATCCTAGGTATGTGCTCTTAGCACTTGAGTCATATCCCCAGCCCCCAAATTACCATGCACACACACACACACTCTGAGTCACAACCAGTGGTGCTCAGGTTGGATACTCCTAGCAGTGCTTGGGGGACCACATGATGCCAGGGATTATACTTGGGGTTCTCACATGCAAAGACTGAGCTCCAGTCTTTTAAGCCCACTCCCCAAACCCTAAAATATTTACAAATGGCATATAGAGGATAGGGAAATCTTTTTCCTACTCTTGCTTAAGTGACTTGGTATTATTCTCTAAAATCTCTAAAATTTTATATGCCTATATAAGCAACATACATTTATATTGTTTTTATACTAATTTTTACATGAATGGTAGCATATTACATGATTTAGCATTTTGCTTTTGGTTTTGGGGGCATAACTGGCTTACTCCTGGTTCTGGGCTCAGGGATCACTCCTGGAGGAGTTCAGGAATCATATGGGGAGCTGGGGATCAAACCTGGGTTGGCTGTGTGCAAGGCAAATGTCCTAACGGCTGTATTACTGCTCCAGCACTAGCAGTTGTCTTAAAATAAATTTATCTTGGAAAATACTACACAAAAATATTAACTCCTTCATGTTTGCTATGTATTTTAATGTAGAACTAGGCGACAGCTGGAGAGATACCTCGAAGGGCTGAGTACATGATTGCACTCAAGAAGCCTGGGTTCTATACCTGGAAGTACATGGCACTCTGAGCATGACTGGGAGTAGTCCATGAGCACAGATCCAGGAGTAGCCCTAAAGCAAGCCCCACTATGTGACCCAACTTCCTTACTCCAAATAAATAAAAAGAAATGACTAAAATTCTTAATGCCCTATTTTGATGCCCCCACTAATCATTTGCTACTATACAAGACATTGCAAAGAACAATTTTGTATATATGCCATTTCAAGATTTTTCTTCTCATGGTGTTTAGATACTACATAAGGCAAAAATTCAAAACAGCTGAAAAACTAAAAACCTACCTTTGTTTCCATGTTGAGGAGATGAAGTCCTTTTATATTCACCCCTACATATACTGGGATTACTTTATGATTGCTGGGGCTTGCCTTTGTAAATATCTGTCCTGTGAAAAAAGCTGCTCCATATGTAGGAATTTCCCAACAATTCTGTAAGAACATGCGCTGAAGGTGATGCATTTCTTTACTGACACCCTCACTTGTACTAAGATTCTGAAACAAATGAGGAAAAATAAAAGATTCAGACATCCCACATTGCCACCAAGTAAGCTCATCTTACTGGCCTTGCTCTAGAGACTCAAAAATGATTCTCTAAAGAGATCAACTAGCCACAAAAATTTCTCAGATACTGGCTAAGACTCCTGGGGCAACTTCTGGTGTGGGTTGGACCAGCTTCTGCCCTACCAAAGTCCAGGTAACCACAGTCACACCCCAAAGTCACAGTATGCCTCTGGCCAGACAGTCCAGTTAAATATTCTGGATTTTCTGGAGCAACATCTCTGAACAATATAATACTAACATCCCAGTAGTAGCATACAAGATTGAAAGGAAATATAACATAGAAGCCAATCAATCTCAGTTAACAAAAACATTAACACAGAAGGCTAAACTTGCAACAACAGTTTGGTAAAAACCCTCAGACAAGCACTTAATGTCCTTATGGTGAGATACAAGTTTCACAAATTTTCTACGGAAATATTTTTTGATTATTCAGTTAGCCATTTAGTGGCAACAAGCAATATAAAATAAATTGTTGTAAATCTGCTAGAGGGGCAGGCTTGAGGAAAATGGAGAAAATAGTGGAGGGAAGGTAACAGCAGTAATGCTAATGGTGTTGGAATATTGTATGCCTGTAACAAACCATGATGAACAACTTTGTAAACACAACTTTGTGTTTAATAAAGTGGAGGAAAAAAATAAGACATGCAAAAAAAAAAAAAGGACTTCTGATAACCTAAGTAGATTTAATAAGCAATTTCCAAAATCAAGTGAGCTCCCAGTGAAGAATAGCATTGTGATAATATCCTAACCAGCTTTTCTATTGAGATCTTAAATATTAAAAAAAAAAAACACTAAGGTTTATCCTACTAGTTTTTAAGTGCATACGGATAGTGCAAGTGCAACAGTTCATATTTTAAAAACATTATCATAGTAATCAATATATAGAAAAAGTCAGTGAAGTATTCTACAGTGTTCTCACAAGCAAAACCTGAAACTCCAGCCTTTTGTATTCTCTCCCCAAAGCCTCGAAACATTAAGTTGTAAATGACATACAGTGAATAGTGAAATCTTTTTCCTAATCTTGTTTTAGTGACCTGACTATTTTCTAAAGTCTTTAAGATTTTATATGCATATATGGTAATATTATTTATGTTGCTACATTGTAATTTCAAGAAATTAAAATTTTAATTTTATTTAACGCACTGTTGCTTCTGGTATCACCAGTGAGTCACACTGGAATGCTATTTAACACAAATATAGCAGTGCTACTGTCAATGTTTAATACAAATAGCAGTTCTGTCATTAAGTTATTAAATTTATTATTTCATAAATAGCTTACCTTGTATTCATGTAGTATTCTATTTGTCCAGTGAGGTGCCTTACTTTTCAACTTGGTAATAGGAACAATGGATTTTAAATTTTCTTCACTGTAAACAAATTGTTATAAATAAATTGCCTATAGTAGCTAACTGTTGAGACACAAATGGCTTTGAGTAACAGGATTTGTTTTTGTGTGACACCCAGCAGTGCTAAGAGGTTACTCCTGCTCGGGGCTCAGTCACCCATGGTAGTGATCAGGGGACCATATATATGGTCCTGGGCATCTGGCAAGCAGAGCATGTGCTCCAGCTTGTTGAGCTGTGGAGTAACAAAGAGCAATATTTTAATTAAAAAGGTTCAGTCCTAACATGCTCAATTTAAATAAATGTTTTCCTTTCAAAAATCGCAAAATATTTTTGAAGTGTAAGAATATGAAAAGTAGACTTCAGATGTGGTAAAAGCTCAGTTGGGCTAGGAAAACAGCTCGAAGGGCTGAGTGGGAGCTCTAGGTTTGATCCCCATTGTCGTAGCCCTTCCACCCATCTCCCACGGACTGAAAGGGCATGGATCCTCCCCAAAAGTAAATAATAGAATCTTAGTGCTTTCTCTTAAGGACTGAACATGAAACTAGTTTTGTGATAAGAGGCTGGTTTTATTTTGTTTGTATTCTGGTCATTGCCAGTGAAATGCTCGGGGGGCAAAGCCAGTAAAGGAAATGAAATATGGTCTTCTCATCTGCTCAGCCATTTAAGTCATCCCCAAGGCCTATGGCAAGATTTCTTAAGTGTATCTACCTTATATTTTTATATATTCAAGTCAGATTTTAGTGTACTTATTTTAACCAACAGTAAAGAAAGCTGTACTTGAAAAATATAAGGTGTGGCCAGAGTGCTAGTAGTGTGGGTAGGGCATTAGCCTTGCCCACAGCTGACACATTCAATGCCTGATATCCCAAATGGTCCCCCAAACACCACCAGGAGTAATTCCTGAGTGCAGAGCCAGGAATAAGCCCTGATCATTGCCAGGTGTGACACTCCCCGCACCCCCCACAAGCCTATGTATATATATATAGTAGATCTAGCTACAGGCAAATGCTTTTTAAAAAAATTCCCACCCCCACTTTCTCCATCATTGTTGTTACTGTTATTACCACGGAAGCTGTACCTATGCCTGACAGTGATATTCAAATATATTTGAGTTGAGGTGCTTGTAAATTTGGCTGCAAGAAACCAAATTCTTTGTTTTCTGGGCCACACCCAGTGGTATTCAGGGCTTATTCCTGACTCAGAGATTAGGATCACTCCTCAGAGATTATTCCTGGCAAGGTTAAAAGAACCATAGGAGGTGCCAGGGATTAAACCCAGGTCAGCTTCATGCAAGACAAGCATCCTACCCACTGTACTATTACTGGCCCAGATTTTGTGGCATTTGCACAGCTGTTCGCCAGGGGTTGCACTCTTGTACGAGGCAAGTATCATTTGCCTTGTGCAAACTAAAGTTTGTTTATTATAATTGTGGTACTTGCTGCAGTTGTGGCTGTGGTCACACAGGTGCTTACCAAAGGCTGCACTTCCTTGCCATAGTATTCACACATATATGTTTAGTTACAGACTTCACTGGGGGTGGGTGGGTAAATGCCCTTTTGTAGTACTTATATGCACCTGGCTGCAGTGTGGTCAGTGACAGCACAGCTGGCAGTCTCAAGCAGCAGAGTTTCTAGGGTCACAACACTTGTGGGACACCAAGGAACTGAACTTATTACCCTGCACTTGCAAGGCAGATGCTCTAAATCACTATTCCTCTGAGCTCCATATCCAACTCAAATATCCTTATATGACTCTGAATAATTTTGGAAAGAACTCAATTAACTTTACCACAGTTCATTCCCTTTTCATGCCTTATATTAATTATTTAATTTCAAACAAATGTATGAATATGTCTTAAAACAATAATCTAAGCTTTTGTGATTCAAACAAACAGAACCTTGAACATAGCGTGAAACATGCACACTATAAAATACTTACTTTAGAAAACCTTGCTTGTGTTTTTTGCTTTCATAATTTCCATAAACTATTTGCAGTAATAGACTTGCCAATGTTATCAGTTTAGCATCAGGAGCTGTATAAAAGCCCTTCAGTAAATTATATCTGGCTTCATCAAAAAGAATAAGAATTGCTAGTGGGTCTTCAATCTTAAAAGGAAAAGTATAATTTGCTTATTAGGCTTTAATTTCTTGTTACAAATGTAGAACTTATCATTGTCTAATCAGGAATAGCAAAAGTCACACATCTCTGATAAAAGGAAGTATGTAAATTTCTAGAGGGGTACATGTAATTAAACGAATATAGAAATAAGAATACCAACTAGAGACTTTATAACTCACACTATACCTCTTACCACAGGCTTGTGAAGACTGAAGTTTAAAAAGAGAAGTAAAATCCTCTCATAAAAAAGCACAATTTTTGAATCTCTACTACTTAAAATGAGAACTCAATAGATTCTATGCATTTATATAATTATAAATGAGTTTTAAAAGCAAACCTTTTTTTCAACTTCCAAAGGAAGTCTCACATCTCTTCTTAGAAAAAGCTGTGGTGTTTCCCTTTGAGGATCCAAATTAGTCAATTCAGAAAGTATCTCTGGCCAATCACGAACATGCTGCAAGGGCTTATGATAAGGCTTCAGCTGAAGGCCTGAAAAACATCTTTCCTTTTATAAATGATAATGTAAAAATAAATATCAATACATTGAAAATGATATTAAACTATCTGCATTTAGGTTCTGAAGACACAAAGATTTAAATTTAAATCAATAATGAATTTAGTCATTATTTCTACCTAATACAAGATAACAGCTTTTGCTTTTAAGAAATAAGAATAAATTTTAAAATAAAAAAAATTTAGCAATTTCTCCATTACAATTGATTTAATTCTGATACATTCAACAGAATTTGGTATTAAAAAATACAATGAAATCATTAAACATTTAATTATAACATTCACAGGTAATTCCTGTAGGTATTTGTAATACTTTGAAAGATAATCTATAGTGATATTACATTGATTTTGTATGTTTTGTTTTCAATCTATACCTGGCTGTGCTTAGAGCTTAGTCCTAAATCTCTGCTCAGGGATCACTTCTAGTAGAATCTGTGAACCATATGAGGTGCCGGGGATCAAACCCAGATCAAGCTGAATGCAAGGCAAGCTTGGTACCTGCCGCACTAACTTCCCGGCTCTTACACTGAGTTAACATGAATAGAACATTTGCATTATTATGTTGAGTCAGGTAAGCACTGAAAATAAAAGCAATCTGGATAAGTGCTAAATTCAACAGTATTTATATAAAATTTTATTACCAGAGAAGAAAAGTTTTGTTTCTATCACTTTAAAATCATATTTCAGAGGCTGGAGTGATAATGCAGTGGGTAGGGTGGTATGTGCTTTGCATGCAGCCGACCTGGGTTCAACCCCTGTCATTCCAGATGGTCCACTGAGCACTGTCAGGAGTAATTCCTAAGTGCAGAACCAGGAATGAGCCCTGAGCATCGCCAGGTGTGGCCCAAAAGCCAAAATATTATTAGTAACAATAATAATAATAAAATCATGCTTTGAATAGAAGATCCCAAAGTTTTCCCTTTTTTAGTAGTTTGAGCTGAATTGATATAGAAGAAAAAAAAATTTAAATAGAAGGAAAAAGTTTATATATTTGTACATAAGGAAAAAAGTACCAAACTTTAAAGGTCAAAAACTGTTACTATACTTAAATTACCAACTGTAGCACTGTAGCACTGTCCTCACATTGTTCATCCAGTGGGCCCAGTAACACCTCCATTGTGAGACTTGTTGTTACTGTGTTTGGCATATGGAATACTTCACGGGTAGCTTGCCAGGCTTTGCCGTGCAGGTGAGATACTCTCGGCAGCTTGCAGGGCTTTCTGAGAGGGCCAGAGGAATCGACGCAGGGTCGCCCTGGTCAGCTGCGTGCAAGGCAAACGCCCTGCCCACTGTGCTATCGTTCCAGCCTTAAATTACCAACAACCTACTCAAAAGCAAATAATGAGGTTTTATGTAACAAAATATTAACTTTCTTACTAAGGTTTTCCGAACAGATCCAAATAGTGAAATACTGCTGTGTTTCTTGGGATAATCGCATTCCTTCCATTATCTGCTGCACTGTGGTATTATTTCCATGCTTCAGTTCAACAGAACGGTATGATCCATCCATTCTGTATATTCGAACTTTTTCATACTAGGATCAACAATAATACAAATTATACAACTTGGTTAATATCTATATATGACGATCTAACAAAATGATTTAATTTCAACTTCATGTGTTTCATGTTATTTCTAGAATGAAAAATAGAGAAACTACTTCAACTGGAAACCTGTTGATAATATTTTCAAGAATTTTACCCATTTTAATGTTTTTCAAAATGTTTTCCTATATTCCCAATTAGTAAAATAATTTTGAGAAACTAAGGCAAGTAGCTTTCGAAGAAATTTTCAACTTCATTGGCTGGGGTACAGATTCAAGGCCTAGAACACATGCTTTATGTGCAGAGCTATGGATTTTACTCCTGACAGTGCATGGTCCCCAAGTACTGCCCAACCTATTCCAGCACTGTGAGATATAGCCCAAAAAAGTGAGGGGAAACCACCATGCTCTAATTCTTCTGGTATGTATGGTGCATGGGGTATACGATATAGACTTGGTAACTAATGGTATTAGACAATTAACTAACTTGGTATTAACTAACTTGGTATAAGACAGCTTACTTTGGATAAAAGTAAATTAATCCTTATATACTGAGAATGTAAAAATTAAGCAAGAGAGACAAAAAGTATTTTAACTATGCAATTAGAAAATAAATTTAATTAAATCTAAGGATAATTATACTATTCATTTCACTGTGCCCATTGAATCATTCAGAAAATGTATCTGTATGTGGTTGTGTGTATATGAGTAATATTTCTTAAAGCTAGAGATAATATATTCATCCCTTATTACTTCCCGCATTTCATGTATTTCCATATCTTATGGAGCTAAATTCACAAACTACGATACAATACTGTCTAGTTGATAGAAATGGATGGAAAGGCTCAGGAATATCAAAAAAGGTATCTATCCTTTATTGGTGTATATCTTTTTATATGGTTTTCAGCTTTTTATACAATTTAAAAGTAGATCTTAGTTTTAGTAGAGTCACTCCCTGTAGAGTGAAACATGTTTGATGCTGGGGATCAAACCCTGGACTTCGGTGTGTCAAATATGCACTCCAGCCCTATGAGCCACATCTTGCTTCAAGGATACCTGTTTTATTGAGCTTTGTTTTATAATGGCTCAATTAATACTAAGATTTTTATAAACTGAAAGAAGTTTTCGGCAATCCAGCATCAAGCAAGTCAATTAGCTCCATTTTTCTAACAGTATGTATTTACTCACTTTTTTCTTAAACCAATTTGAGACTTTAATGTAATTCTTAGTATTATTATTATGATGTTTGGCTATCTCTGACGTGTTTATGCTGTGCTTGTACCTAATGTTCGAACTGCTTATGAAGATAATTCTTACTGGTTTATTGATGGCTTCTTTCAATAATTTTGCAGCTTCTTCCCAATTATTTTGTTTATTTTCTTCACAAATATTTAAAGGGGATCTTCCTTGTTGGTCTGTTATATGCTAGTATTGTGGGGGTAAAAAAGAAAAAGAGTAAAGAAAAAGGCATTACACATATATGCATTTTTAAGAATAAAAATCTTCAGTTTCATAAAAAACTCTTGTCAATATTAAGTAAATAATAACATACTTATACACTTGAAATTAACATGAATCCCATTCATTAAAGACATGAAGCACAAATCAATGTGATCACTTTACTGATTTTTGATCACTGTATCACTGTCATCCTGTTGATCACCGATTTGCTTGAGAGGGCACCAGCAATGTCTACATTGGTCCCTGTCATGTGCTAGTGTAGCCTGATGGTGTACTGGGGGCTCTTTCCGGGTCAGAGGAATGAGGACCATCATTGTTACTACTTTTGGCATATCGAGTATGTCATGGGTAGCTTGCCAGTCTCTGTCTTATGAGCAGGATATTCTTGGTAGCTTGCCGGGCTCTCTGAGAGGGATAGAGAAGCATGGTGTGATAGTTATGGAAAATGAGTAGGGAGTGTCTTATGAAGTGTCTTTTGAGGTTACACGGTCCAGGAATATGTTCACTCATACATGAGGCTCGCCCCAGCATGTGGAAAGCTGCCTGGAGCATGGCTGTGGTTCATTTGTGGAGGTCAGCTGCTGGTCCCTTGGGGCGGGGAGGCTCTCATCCACCCCCCTCTAAGGTGCCCCGAGTGAAAACAGCCTGGCGCAGAGTCCCGATTTTAGATACATTTTGATAAAGCTTTTTTCTTTATAAAATATTTGTTAATACAAATAAGAGAAAATGTGCTGAAAGATTTTTCTTCTCAAAGATATACTTGAGGAAATACAACATAAAATAAAACAGCTGGGCTAGACAACTCAATTGGTTGCAGTATATGCTCTGCTAGAGGCCAGGCTCAGTCCCTAGCACTGCCTGTCTCCACCCCACAACACAATATCACTAGGAGTGACCTCTGAGCACCACCAGGGGCCCATACCCTCCCCACTTCACCACAAAAAACAGTTAAATTTTGTGTGCCTCCTAGATATAAATATATAAAATAGAAATAAATGTATTTAATTCACTAAACTATATACCTAAAAATAGAGGAAATGGCAAATTTTATGTGAGGCATATTTAATAATCACAATAAAAATTTATGTGTAAAAGCAAAGTTTACTTTTATATAGCAAGTAAAACTTGTTTTTAGTTTTCAGCTGAATTTGCAAGTAAACAATTGGTGTCATTAGTTGTTTTTCACCACTGGAACTTGTTAAATAATGTTTATTTTGGGGATATACCCAGCTGTGCTCATGGATCACTCCTAGGAGGCATGAGGGGCCATATGGAGTACCAGCAATCAAACCTGTGTTGGTCCTGTATAAGGCAAACACCCTACCACTGTAGTATTGCTCTGGCTCAACTGCTGCAACTTAAAAAAAAAAACAAAAACAAAAACCTAGAAAAACAGCTTACTCTGTCAATTTCTGGATGGTTTAGGAGAATTTGTACTATTTCAGCATGTCCTCCTCCAGCAGCAAAATGAAGAGGAGAACTAAGCTGTCCATTTAAAAGGTTTGGATTGCACTTTCCTTTCTCCAGCAATATGCGAGTGGCTTCAACTTTCCCATACCTACAAGAAAATACAACACTTAAGAAAGACATCTGAAATGTCTTAGTTATAAATTTAATATCATCTTAAGGAAATCTAAAAATTTCTTAGAGCACAGAACAAGAGATTAGATATTGACATGAATGTTTTCACTGGTGATGGATTTCTTAAAAATTACTATTTATGATTTATTCAGTTTAGTGATTTTATGAATTAATCAACTATTTCTCAAATATGAGATCGAATTTTTTAAAAAAAAAACCCAAAATTGTGTAAATTCCATCACCAGGGAAAGACACCATGGCAAGCCTGTGTGTAAGCACTGCGGCAACCACTGGTAAGCACTGTAACAGTAACTTGTGTGCCTCAGTTAAGAGGGCTATCCTGGTGAGCATGTGTGCAAATGACACAACTAAAGGAATGCAAAGCTTAGTGAACACTGTAGCTAAGTGTACAAGTATCTCAACTTGATGTGGGACTCCTGGCAAGCACCACAGCTAAAATAATGTCAGCAAGAAAGCCAAGCATGTGTGCAGTTCTGGTCACTATAACAATAATTATCACACACACAAAAAAGGAAAGGGAGAAGATACAAAAATAATAAAAATTAAATAAATGCAAAATTTAAGTAAGATATTGATTCTTACATCTTAATTAAAATGTTTTTAAATGAAAATTAGAATTTCATGTGATCTAATAATACCACTTCTAAGCATTATATAAAAAATAAAACACTTAATTCTAAATGACATTTCACCCATATATTCATAGAATCACTTAAATGCCCAAGAACATCTAAAACACAGACTCACTCTAATTGCCCATGGGTAGTTGACCTGGTAAAGAAGTTGTATCATAGGCAGTCCAAGGTTGGCTCTACTACACATACTGAGTGTGATCTCATCACCACCACAAAAGGTGCAATCTCTGGAACACCAAGACTGTGTGAACCCTGATGCTTATCACATCCAAATATGTGACCCCAATCAACATAATAAGGGATTAGGAAAGGGGGTAGGACCTATTTAAACTAAATGAACAGATGATCTTGAGAACACACCTCTGAAATCTGATATAAATTTGGACATCAAACTGCATCAGATCTGAGATGCCTACTAGACTACATACCGAGGGTCCTGAAGTCTTTATCTAAAATTAAAATTTTGTTGATATTGTTGGTTTGGGGGCCACACCTGGTGACGCTCAGGTTACTCCTGGCTATGAATTCAGGAATTACTCCTGGCAGTACCTGGGAAACGCATATAGGATGCCTGAGATCAAACCAGGATCAAACCAGCATGAAGGGTAAGGGTCCTACCCACTGGACTATCTCTTCAATCCCTCAAATAATCTTCAGCAAGGGTTGCTACAGACTTGTGAGTGATGAAGATCCTTTGTCAAAAGCGGCTTCTCCTTCCGTAAAAACAAATATCTGTGACTACAAACACTCCTTTCTTCCCTCTGCTCCTCAACCATCTTATTTTCAATGCTAACTGAATTGTATGCAGGTAATGCTCTAATGTGGATTTCTCCTGGTAAAATTGTATTTTTAAAAAATCCAAGAGATGTATATTTAATAAAATATTACTTTGCTATTTAAAAAGTTGAAATTGTGTCCTTTGAAACAAAATGAATAGATATGAAGTAACTATGCCAAGCTAAATAAAATAAACACTACTATCATAGTGAAATATGAATTACTAAGGCATATGCACACAACGAAACTAATGCCTAAATGTCGTAAAAACTATGGTGGTTACCAGAGGGATAGTAGAGGTTCAGGGTGGAGAAGGGATGAGGAGACAGGGTCTTTTGGGGGGGGAGTAGTGACTAACACATGCAAGTATGAAGCCAAGTGCTTGAAGTTCTATATTGTGAAATAATGTTAGCAAAAAAAAAATAGGTTTAAAAGAATTTATTCTACCTCAGGGAGTTATGTATACAGAATAGGACAGTAAGAGTTATACTGAGAGCAGCTGGTGTAAAGAGCTAACTTCAGTCAAATCATCTAATAGCTCTAGGGGAGCAAAAGCAGGGGAGGCTCTTATCTGATAGACTCACAAGCCTTCCTTGGTCCTATAGCTAACCAAAAAAACTAAAATGATACTTTTCTAACATTATATCAAGTCACAAATCATTAACACAGGGGATCTTATGCTGCACAATTACACTAGTCATTAGCTACCTACTACAAAATCTGTTAATATCCAAGAACACTAATGATACTTTTCCCACTGGACAGGTCTTGCAGTTCTTAACAGTGGCACATAAAATCAATAATAAGTAAAGAACATAAAAACAGGGCAGAGAAAAAAAAGGAGATGAAATGAGAATAGTCATAAAAAGAACTCAAGAAAACTCATAATTCATTCTTTCTAAAAGAAAAGAAATAATTACTCCATTTACCAGCATGCATAATGAATGGGAGCCCAGTGGTCACTATCTAACTGGTTGACAGAAAATCTTTCATTGAGAAGACGGCTTAGTAATTCTGAATCTCCTTCACAGGCACTTCGATGGAGAGGGAAATCATCTACCCATTGTCGTTCCCTTCATAAAACAAACAAACAAACAAACAAAAAAAAACAGTTAAAATTTCAAATATGACAGCTACATATCATTAAGCAGGAGCAAACGAAATCATTTAACAATGACTGCACTGAACACTAAATGCATATTTTAAACCACTGTTTCTCCACCTTTTTCCAACTGTGCCCTACTTCTGACACCCTGCTCCATCCTTTCAGTTGGTTCTCTAGTCTTGCGCCTGACCCTCTCATATACAGTTTTCATCTGTGGCCCCTTATGAGTATCTTGGGGGCTGACAGAGGACAATTATGGCCCCTGATTAAGCTGCTTTGTTGGTTTTTTTTCTTCTTTTTGGGCTCCTCAGCCATACCTGGTGGTTCTCAGGGCTTATGCTCAGTGCTCTATGTTTAATAATCACACCTTATGGTGCTCGGGAGACTGTATGGCAAGCCAAGATATCTAACCCGGGCCTGCCACATGTAAGGCAAATACCCAAACCACTGTATTATCCCTCAGGCTCAAGAAATGCTGTTTTAAATATAGTAAAATGTAGTCTTTGTTGTTTTTGCATTTCCAAGTGGACCACTGGTTCGGTGCTGCTTGGCCCACTGGTACCAGGGATTACCCAAATCACCCCATCTGTGATAAGGGTTTCAAAGGCCACACTTGGTACTTCCAAGGGCTGTACCTGTATGCCTGGGGGACCATGTGTTATGGGGAAGAGTTGGGGCCATGCCTAACTTGACATACTATCTCCTAGCCCCACCAGAATGTAACTTGTAGTAAAAACAAAATAGTACTTGTCTTCTGTGACACTGCTCATGCTTCTCTGCCATTTTTCCTGTTTGGGAATTTGGATTTTTGAGTAGTCTGGAGCTCCTAGGCCAAAGTATGGATTTATTACCACTTTATCTACCTAGAAAGAGAAAATAAAACAAAATCTTCTTAGAATATTTAGATAACTTGACTTTAACATGAATAAAGCTAAGTATGTATATCGTTTCTATTTATATAATTTGTACCAGATTCATTTATCCTAGAAAAAAATTATATTTGAGATGAAGTATCATTTGCAATCGAGTCAAAATTCATTCAAGTCTTACCCGATTTGTATACTGAAGATCTGATCCAAACAAAGGATTATAAATACAGGTATCTGCTTTCTCTAGGGCTAGCATTTTACTCTTTATTTCTACTGCACTATAGCCCATATGCAGTGAATTTTCTGTCTGACCTGATTCAGTAGCATATGCAGGGTTTATGACATTAGTTTTTATCCTCTCCAGAGGAGAAGGTCGGAATAAAGCTGGAATAAAGTGAGATTGTGTATGACGTTCATCTAACCACCTGGCAAAATAAAAAGCAGAAGTATATGTTAAAAAAAAAGCATACGTTACAAAAATTTAGACCAAAATGAAAAAAAGATTATGAATCCAACTTCGATATATAATATTTCTTGATATTACATCCTGTCTTCATTAAGTATTTTATTTACTATTAATAAAAATTTTGTTAATGGACACAGAAAACTATTTTTAAAACTGCATACTAGTACAATAGCAAAAGTCCCTTAAAAAAATAACAAGAAATACCTTTAAAACTTTAACCACTATGAAGAGACATAAGCCTTCTGTTATTATCAGGGGTAATATTTACTATTAACCTGTTTTTATTATATTTATTACAACATTTTTAATGGCATTTCTTACTTATCCAAGGCTATTAACATCCTCGCTGTAAGTGTAGCAAAGTGTGTGCTGGATTCACTACAGACTCGCATAATGTCTTGTAAGCAATAAAAAATTGGGCATCCAGGAGTATATGTATATTTGGTATTATCTGAAATGCAAAAAAGAAGAATTACATCATCATATGACAGGCTTAGAACTGTATATTCATTTAAAAGTATACAGTACGTAAAAAAGATTAATAACATAAATTAACCTAGATTTGGAATAAGATTTGAATTAAACTGATAACCAGCTGTGACCATATCCACTGGGATGCATGCAGCATTAAGGATCTTAAGAGGGGCTTGAGCATCACCCAGTGTTTTCTGGTGTACAGAGCCAGGAGTAGCCCCTAAGTACCACCTATTGTGGTTCTGCACCCCCAAAACAAAAATTTAAAAAAAATCACTGATTATAATCTAAAAACTTTAAAATTATGGCATCCCTCAAAGCTTTTATCAATCATACTTAATTTGGGGATGTGTAGGTTTTTTTTTTCTGACCAGATGACAGTGCTCAGGGGTCACTCCCAGCTGTACTCAGGATTGACTGCTTGCAATGCAAGCACTTTACTATGCATACGCTCTCTCTAATCTTTTTTTTTTAATTGAAATTTCATTTTATCCACCATCCCTTCCTTTTGTTGTTGTTTTGACAACCAAGTGTCACACTTTTGGTTGCAGTGATCACTGGGAGTCACACATTTGGCTTCTGTGCTTGCTGTGAATTCCACATTTTAGTTATGGTGCTCACACACATTTGGTTGTGATATACCTGAGATCAAGTACTTTACTGTGATACTGCAGATCACAAATGGCAGGGCAGCCTGGATTGCACTTGACATGTGGGGCAGTACAGGGGATTGAATTTATGGCTTGTTTTCCCACCCCTAGTCCAAAGAAGTGGAAGCAGCACTGCATTGGGGTACGTTTATTCTTCAAGATCACCATTTTGCTTCCAGGTTAGGAGACCGCATAAAGCAGAGTTGGAAGTAGAAGGCTGTGAGACACTCTTGCTTGCCTCCTCCCAGCCCTAGTCCTGAGATCCCAAGAAACAGAAGCAGCACAGTGCCCGGGCACTGTTTATTCCTCAAGATTGTCCTTTTGCCCACAAGTTAGGTGGCCCGGAAGCCTCCTCTACTCCTCCAATCTTATCATTAGCATATAAAGATATCCTGACTCCAATCACCAAGACACAAAACAAATACATAAACACACCTCCAACTGCAAAAGTGAAAATATGAAAGCAACACAGAACCCCACCATGCTTATTGACCAGATGCTAGCCCTGAAGACTCAACCAGTTACAATGAGCTGTATAACCTCCCTGATAAAGATTTTAAAGAGGCAATGTGAGGATATTTAAGGAGCTCAAGCAAACCTTGGAATGGGACCAGAAATGAATTTATGACCTCATATTTGCAAGGCAGGTGATCTAGTACTAAGTTAAGCCTAGTCTTAACTTTTAAAATCCTAAAATAAATAAATAAATAAATAAATAAAATTACAGTTCAGTCCAGAGCCTGAATATTGCTTAAATCCAGTCACTTAGACTAATCAGCCATTCTGCATCTACAATTACTTGAAATCAAAACATCTCTAACAAAATTTTCCAGCTTCTATTAATCTAAAATTATGTATTTTAAAATAGCAACACAGTGGCTGGAGCGATAGCACAGCAGGTAGGGCATTTGCCTTGCACGTGACCAACCCAGGTTCGATTCCCAGCATCCCATATGGTCCCCCGAGCACCGCCAGGAGTAATTCCTGCATGTATGAGCCAGGAGTAACCACTGTGCATCATTGGGTGTGACCCCCCCAAAAGAAAAGCAATAGAGCAATAACTAGGAATATTTTTTAAATCGTCATTTTACTTTAGCATCAAAAGTACATAAAAATCCCGAAGATCAAACTTAGATTTTACCTTTGACAACTGATGGAACAATAAATAATGCTGCTTCTCTGCCCATCTTCTCCCCATCCAGCGGAAATTTCTTCATTAATATCACCCGTTTTCCTAATCATAATTTTAAAAGTCAGTACAGATTTTTAGAGTTTTTACATCTTATAAAATAACTTGAGAATTAGAATTGTTTAAAAATAAAATTAAGACTAACATATAAAGTCAATTTTAAATATGCATTAATAAAACCTGTTAATTCTGATAATGCAAGTTATTCTATGGACAGTCACTTGGTACCTTCCTAGTCCCTGTCTTGACTCACTGCAAAAGAAGCTTCCTATGCACATCAAGGAAAGTTTTCCTGCAAAGAATTGATAAAGCAGCTAAACAACAGGTGATCCTTTAAGGTTGAGGTATATGGCTTCTCACTTAGCAGGGATGCAGATGGAAAGAACTTCACTACAATCTAAGATGGCTAAGGAGAGTTTCAGAGTTTTCAGTTTAGAAACTCTTCATTTAACATTCAACCTTCACCCTCAAGTTCAGTTTTTATTAAAATCTGGCTATAAATTATAGTTCTGGATTATAATCACCATTCTTTGGCAGAAAGAAGGCTATAAATAACAACCTATGAATCTGGCACTCTAAAACCTCTCATCTTCTACAAATCTTTGCCAGGATTTTAATCAGCCCTCCTAGGTATTCCCAGAGCCACCTCCCCCCACCAAATAAATCATTTTTTTCTAACCCAGGTAGGAATGCCAAATTGGATGTGTTCAGTGATTATACAGATGAGTTCAAGTAGCTTTATTTACTCATAAAATACTAGTCAATTTTTTTTATTATTATGACTTTTAGTATATCCCCATAAAATTTAGAAAATGAAATTCACAATTGTACAAAATATGATAAATACAGTAACATTCTAATAGTTAGAAGCACTATTTCTTTTGAATTGTTTGAGGTATTGTGCCACTTAGATCTTTTCTGCCTTACTCCTTTTCCATATCCACTTGTTTTTAACTGCCTACTTCGCAAATTTGTAACTATAAACTATGATTTGGTGGGAAAAAAATAAATCACTCAATACAAATTAGGAAATGAAGTTTCTAATCCTAACTCCTCATATAAAAATCTATAAATTATATATATTTATAACAACAACAAAACTCTAAATAAGTTTCAGAAAACCAAACAGGAATGTCTTACCTAACAGAAAATAATGCAACCTATACTTGATGGAAATTAGCTTTATCTTTTTAATTGTGATATCTGACTCTGACATAGTTTATAAATTCTATAACTCATAACTGCTATCATAGTCTACTTCTTTTAGACTATGGCCTGAGAAAATGGATCACTATAATTTCATCAGTTTCACTGGTTCTATATCAGCTAATATTTTCATGGTACACTAACCTTTTAGGATTAATAATTCTACAGTTTGGCTCTCTAGAAATGATCATCTTGTGATCAAATGTGAAGAAAACCTTTGCTACCTCATGGAACCATTTCTAATCCATGAATCTTAACTTTCAGATACTGAGGTAGGTTTTAAGTTTCCTCTGTTCTGGAGTAGAGAAATATATCAGTAGTTTAAAGATATTTATCTAGGGAATTGTAGCAAAAGTAACTTGTGCTTTATTTTAGTGTCCAGGCTGCCCTTTGATTTCTCCTCTGTATTGAATAAATCATTAACACTGTGACTTAAATATTTCTCAGCTTTAAAAAGTTCTTGAGTACCTTTAAAGGATTTTTTAAATGGAAAGAAACATTTAAAAAGAGATGAGTTTACTAAATTTTTTAAAAAAGTGTTTTCCCTACATTATTTGGAGTAAACTATGTTAAAAATAGAGGGGAAAATATTTTCTTACCTTTGATACCCTGGTTTGCGGGAGAAATTGGTTTTGTGGTTTCTATTACATAATCCAATATGCCTTGTGTTATTTCACCATTGCTTTGAAGTTTAGCTTCCAACAAAACTTTCTTTCTCTTCTTTTTTTGTCCTTCAATGGGAACTTCATGCAACAAAATCTTAGATGCAAATAAGATAGTTTAAAATAAAATTCACTTGCTTAGAACATAATGAGTTAGCAATCTTTATATCTCTAGTTATATATTAGAAAAACTTGTGAGCTTTAAAAAAGTGCTAATACTCTCCTTTTTCTCAGATCTGTTAATTCAGAATGCATTGAATTTGGGGCCCTGGTCTAGACGCTGCTCTGGGGTCTGGAAAGTTTGGGCCATACCCAGCAGTACTTGAAGGGTGGGTTACTCCTGCCTATGCTTGGATACTACTGAATACCAAACTGGTTTCTCTGCTACATTGGCTCATACAAGGCAAGTGCAGTAATTACTGTACTTTCTCTTTGGCCTCTGGTTCTAGAATTTTTCAAAGTTTATCCTGGATGAATCAACAATGCAGCCAGGATTGAGAACCAGTAAAACAGAGGATTGATGAAGCAACAATCTCGTGAGGACTAGTGTTTCCTTTTATAGGCTTCCAGTAACCAAAGAGCAATTTAAACAAAAAGTTTGAGAAATTAGTTGGAGTCAGGTTAAATTAGAAGCATTTTATGATACCTGGAATCTGTTGCATATAAAAAATAATTCTACTTTGTGTTTTTTGGCCTCATTCACATATACTAATATATGTAATATTATCAAGACTTCAAATAAATAACTTGTCTAAAGCTCAATTAAAGATAAAAACCTATTTAAAAATTGAACTGTTAAAATAGTTATCAGAAAAATAGCTAAGAAAAACTGTTAATTTTGAATTTAGAATAAGTTAATTTTTGTGCTTTCAGTTTTGAGCTCTTCTATAAATTAAATATTAAACTTAAATAGTATATTTAATATCTAATAAAATACATATCAATGGATAGAAACAGGATCAAAAGGCATGTAGCAAGTGCTATTTACAATTGCTCTGGTCTGGAAACAATCCAAATAAAATGAAATGTGGTATATTATAGACAGTAGAATACTAGTTATATGAAAAAATGAAATCCTATCTTTCAGTACAATTTAGATGGAATTATAGGGTTTCTTAATGAGCAAAATTAGTCAGAGGAAGAAGGATAAATGCTGAATTATTTCAATAATATGTGTGATATAAAGAAACAAAGAAGGGAAATGGACAATGGCAATTGAAAACAAACTCTTGGATTCTTAACAACAGAACTGAGTTTACAAAGGAGAGGAGAATGCTGAATAGAGAAGACAACTCTAACAATGCTACTAAACCCCCACAAAAAAAAATTGTGTCTGGAGGGAAAGAGTTCATGATGTCTTTAACACATAGTTCCAGGATTGACTGTCTTTGCCCATGATCCCCTGTACTGCTGGGAGTACAGATCTGGGAGTAGCCCTAATGTGGCCCCAAAATGTAAAAATTAAACACACACATATTATATATATATTTTTAAAAAGCATGCTATGAAGAAAAGTGATGGACAAAGACCTAGAATTGCCAATTCTAGTTTGTCAAGGTCTAGGTGGTCAACATTATTAAGACTTTAAATGTTAATGAAAATGATAATGGAGAAAGGCATTCAATAGAAGTAAATCAAATGTTATATTCTCACTTCATATGACTTGGCTCTGTATTCCCGAGAATTGAGGCTTGCGATATTCTTTGGACGAATAACAGCAACATAAGCATCTTCTATGTTTTCTGGATTTCCCATTGCTTTACAAAACAAAATCACTTGAAAGATTAGACACAATTACTTTAAAAATCATTTTAAGATGTTGATTTTTCTTAGTATAAACTACATATAAAGGGCAACCTAGAGATAAAAAGGGCAACCTAGAGATAAAACTGGGTGCTCTTTGCATTGATACAAAGATCTAATCAAAATCTAAGCTTTGAATGTAAGATTTTCTTGTACTCCGCTTTCCTTTTTTTGGCTATAAACTTTTTTAAAAAGGAAATATATACTCTCATTGATCTTAATTTCATAAGGATCTGCTTTTTGAACCCCGGAAAGTAAGTTTGGACAAATACATAATTTCTTTCTGACTCAGTTTTATTATGTGACAAATAGGGCTGAAAATTGTAGTAATTTCAAACTGGCTTGAAAAATACACAGTTGAAATTATAAACTATTCAAAACAATGTCTGAATATAGCAAGCTCCTAATAAAATTTATTATTTTTAATAACTGTAAAAAAACTGAATTTCAAAAAAAGAAAGGAATCCGCTTTTTAGATGTAAAAACAAGGATAGACTTATAAAATATAAGTATCAATAAAGAATGACTTAAAAGTTATTTAGGATAACATACAGTGTTGTTCATAAATTCCACAGGTAGAGAGTTGATAGTTTGGAAACTGAAATTAGGTAGTACTACAATCTTTAAAAGAAGTGATATCAGATATTTGGATGAGCTACAAGATGATTTTTTTTTGAGGCATCTATCAGAAACTAAACAGTTTGCTAGTTAAGAAAACAATCCTAATGATAACAAAAATATTTTCCAATTTTGTTTCCAAATATGTGTATACATGTAAATATATATGCATATACGTATATATGTACTCACATAGATATGCATATACATGTACGCATACATAAAATGCTTGCATAAAACTACTTTTCCCAGACTACTGGGCTAATTTTAAGTTACCTTTGGATGATTGCCAACAAGTAATTGAATTTCAAGCACTCTTGGGGGGTGTGTATACACACACACACACACACACACACACACATCTATTTCCTCATTAACTACTGTTACTTTATTGTGACAAGTATCAATCCTTATAGTTATAAAAGGAAATATACATATTTATATGTATGCATTTATTTAATATTTACATATTAGTTTTCAGAGTCTCCCAAAGATGGTCAGGAAGACTGGACCACTCCCTGCAAGACTTGGCCATAGGGGCTGCAAGACTCAATGGTTCAGTCATCTGCTCTGGCCCATGGGTACTGAGGGGATTACCAGGGACTCCAAGACTACATACACTGGTACTCTTATTACTCAGCTTTCTTTTTCCTCATCCTCATTTTATCACTCATCACGTATCAATAAGGAAAATCTTCAAAAACGTGAGTCTATTCTGTAGCAAGATCTTTTTAGTTTAAAAGGCAATTTTACTAAATAAGGTTAACAGAAAGGGAACGAATACTGGAACTTGGAACCAAATAAATTCCCACTGATAACGGTAAGTACATTTAATGAAATTATCCGGGAAGCACGACTTTTTTCGGTCGAATACCGAAATAAGCGCTATACCAGTTGCTCCTGTAGTTTTTCAACCTAATTCTACGAGGGAACGCATGCATCAGGTATTTGGATAAGCTACAGTATAATTCATTATTTTTTGAGGTGTCTATCAGAGTCAAACACTTAGCTAAGAAAAGCTAAGTTCAGAAAGGATAATGCGGGGCTGGAGTGATAGAACAGCAGGTAGGGCGTTTGCCTTGCACGCGACCGGCCTGGGGTTCGAATTCCCAGCATCCCATATGGTTCCCCGAGCACTGCCAGGAGTAATTCCTGAGTGCAAAAGCCAGGAGTAACCCCTGTGAATCGCCGGCTATGACCCAAAAAGAAAAAAAAAGGGGGGGGAGTAAAGAAAGGAAAATGCAACCAGTTATTGAATTTTAAACTTAAGAAAACTTGTGTTTTGTAAGGTGAGAAGAAAGAAAAGCGCTCGCAAACCAAGTGTGGCAACACGGACCCACAAACACTTAAGAAGGGAATGGCATGAGATTCAGGGCGGGGTGGCAAGATCAAAGATTCCTGGAGAGGCTAAACCCACGGAGAAATAACAGAGAAGGCCCAAAGTTTTGGGACTCTCTGGGAGTTGCAAAGCGGTGAGCTGCAAGCTGAACCGCTCTGCCCCGAACTGACAGAAATACAAGCTGTCAGGAGGTTCGCCACCACCCGTCCACTCCCGGCCAAGGACCCCCAACTCCTCTTAGCTCGAAGAACTGCCACCCTGAAAGTGACTCTGACTCCTTCGCAACCACTTGAAAGAAAGAAACTCCTTGCCTGGTCAAACTGGAGGTGGAGAGTTCAGGCTCCCAGCTCAGTTTTTTTTTTTTTTTCTCGCTGTGATGGCGAGCCTGCGCCTCTTCGTGTGCCGAAGCACCAGGCAGCCAGCGGTCTCGCCCGTGCGGGCGGCCGAACACCCCCGGGCCGCTACATGCAATTCACTGGGCGGGACGGTCACTTTTGGGGCAGGGGGCTGTCATCGCGCTCGCAGTCCTGCCCTTCTTCCCAGCGGCTCGGCCCAACTTCCTGTGAAAGGAAAACCCTTGATCGCCTCCGGAGACTGCCCGGCTCCTACAGCAGCGCTCCCCACCCCGTGCCTCGAGAGCTCTGATCTGAGGATCAAAGACTAAGTCCACCGGCCCGTTACTGTCCCGGGTCCTCGCACCTCAGCCTCCCAGACGCCCTCATTCCCTCAGTAAGCGAGAGAATTCCAGACCTCCAGAGGCCTCCGAGTGCCACCCCGCTGCTACCGGGGCGAAAAATTCGCTTCCGGGTTCACACCCTGGCACCCTCGCGGCAGGCCGCAGAAGAGCTTCCGGGTCGGGGGCCGAGGGGCTGCCGTTCGCGCCGCGGCTCGCTGGGGCTGAGGGCTGTCTGGGAGCGGCGGAGGGCAGCGCGAAGACTGGGGCGACGGCGGCGGACGCGCCAGCTGCAGTGCCCGCGGCGGGGGAGGGGAGGAGGGCGGCCAGGGCGGCGGCGCGCGCGCGCCAGACGTGAGCATGAGCCGGACTTGACCGCGAGGCGGAGGCGAGAGCCACCGCCCCCTCTTCCCCTCCCCCGTGTGAGGCGGCGCGGCGGCCGGAGAGGGATGGGGGGCGCCCGCCCAGTCTGATCCTCGCAGCCGGCGCGGCCGGCTAGTTCAGCGCTCCCCGCCGGCCTGCGGCGCGCCTCCGCGGCCCCAGCAGCCTCCCGCCCAGCCCGCGCCCCCGGGTGGGCGACTTGGAAGGGCCGCCCGCCCGAGGTGGGTGGGGCGGAGAGGCTACCTGAGGTCGCCGACCCGGCGCGAGAAGCCGAGGCGGCCGCGGCGGTGGCAAGACTGCGGGGTCCCCCCGACCCTGAGCCTCGGCCGGAGAAGGAACCGTAAGTCTCAGCGTCGCCTTCCCGGTCGGTGTCGAGGTCGTCTCAAAACCATTTGGGGCTCTGGATTCCGCGCTGCCGAGTTCACGCCCTCCTGGGTCTCCTGTAAATGTGCCTCGCCTGCCTCTTGGCCCGGTTCTGTGAAATGGCAGCGTTTTCCGTCTATTCCTTGGGGGATTTTTTTTTTTTTTTGCAAACCCTGTGGATTTGCAAGCCGCCCAGTCGCCGTGGCGCGTCCCTCCTCCCCATCTGGGTGCATTGCCTTGTCCCTCTGTCCTCAGAGGATCTGTGTTCCTCCTCCTTTTTCTGTCTGTACCCCGGAGCAGACAGCCTCCCCCCCGCCAACCCCTAACCACCCCCCCACCCCCCGAGACGGGTTCGCCTCTTTGCAGGGCTTGAGAGTCCTGAACGGGTGGATTCAAGTGTTCTGCGGGGCGGTGCTGGGTGGAGATAGGTGCAGATGGCTCCAATGAACCTTTTATTTTTGCAGCTTCTGCCACCAAAACAAAAGAACGGGCCGCTCCCTAGGACCTTTATTCCTTTCCCTAACTGGATAGGATAGGAGCTCTTCTCTCTGTGTTGCTCTTTGAGTCCTAGGAAATTGGAACGAGAGCTATCATTGAGCATCTCCTGAGGAGGATTTGAGAATTAGCCTTACAAGCTCTATTCACACAGAATGGGATATTGGACACTTTTGTATCGAAACGAAGATCCATTCCAGAAAAGCGTTACTAGCAGATCCGAGAAACGGAGACGAAAACAAAAATCCGGTGTTTCAAATATTTTAAATGCCTTCAGATGATTTTTAGCGTTTTGGACCTGCATTTAGTCATTAATTTACCAACGTGCGTGTATGTGAATGATGTGAAAAGCTTTGTACTGGAAGGGTTTGCTTTGTTAGAAATTTTGAAGATCTTCAGATTATATATCTGGTGGTATTTAAAATCGTTAATTCCAAAGAGGTTCTTTTTAAAAAAAAATTTTTTTAGATGATTTAGATCTGCCATTTATAGACCTTACACACCTTGATGCTTCTGACCTTCCTGTTTCTTAGTTTTAAGTCTAATTAACTGTGAATATATTCAATGTATGTTTTCGGGTTTGAATTTGTGTGTTTGTGGTGTGATGGCGATGAACACAGGTTTTCACACATGCAAGGCATCATGTGCTTTACCATTGAGCCGTATTCCAGCCGCTCTTCCCAGATTTTGCACTAGAATTATTTTTTTTTTCACTAAATTTTGTTTGGCTTTTAAAACTGACGTGCCAGAACTTTCCAGAAATTAGATTTATAGATAATATTAATTCTGTCAAGAGATTGGACAATAAATAGCTCTTGCATTGTCTTCAAGGAAGCAAAATTAAGAATACTTTCATTTTCTGTTAATCTTTTTTTTTTTTAATGCAGACTGGTAGCTTTAGTTGTTTTTTAGCTTATATTTTCTCCTGAGAAACACTGTCATTTTGTTTTGAAATGTGAATGAATGTTTTTAATGATCCCCCACCTTTCAGCAGTTCATGTGATATTATTTATAGCCTCATTTTGTTCATAGATTTTAATTTGAAATAGTCTCAAAAGATGTAGTCCCAACTATCTCTGGAAATGTGCTTGTTTCAGAAGCCAGAGCTATAGAGTTCAGTTTTACTAAAGGGTGTGGTTTTGCTTTTCCCTAAATAAATCAGTTTTTTTAAGTGGAATTTTGTAGTGAGGTGATAAGCAACAACTTCAAGTTGCCTTTTAAAACAAAAGACAATTGATTCCCTCCCTCTTTTTTTAAATGGGCCACTCCAGTGCACTGGGGCCATGGTCAGTAGCACAACTCAGGGCTTAGCACAAACAAGTCTTGTATTCTATCTACCTCTTAAGCTACATGTTTGACCCAGTTGGTCCCTTCTTATCCTCAGGGGTGGGGTGAGCAAGATAGGACTATATTTTCATATTAAACTTTTTATTTCCCACTGATGTGGAAATGTTGAGTGTGAAAAATGTACTAAGACCATAGACTGCTTGCTGTAAGTGTATATTCTAACAGGTGGCTTCTGATTCAGCGTTTTGTTAGCTTGTCTTACTTTTTTATAGCACTGGTCATTTATGAGAGTTGATTTTCCCCCACCACCAGAGTTGGGTCTTTTCTTGATGCACTTGAACTAGTGAAAGTGAAATAGTTGTATTTACAACTTACAGCTGAAAGTTCAAGCTGATTTTCATATATAAACAGAAAGATAAACTAGGTCTTTCATATTCCTCTTGAGTTTAAATTAAGAAAGATTCCTCAGGATTTGCGGCATTTGTTTTTTCACCTCTGAAATGGCATATTACTTTTATATAGATGATTTTTTAAATAATTCTAATATTATATTTTTATATATGACACTTTTTCCGAAAAGGATTTGAAAGTGGTTCATTATTAATAAGGAACCATTCTATGGGAAGTTTCTGTACATGGTATTTTATTTATTTTCTTAAAGTGAAGTTTTAGAAATAGTAATTTTTAAAGTCTCGGTATTTTTCAATCTCAGACCACTTCTTCATTTATACTTAAGTAGCTCTTTATTGATTGCTTACTTTGTATGCCAGGAGCTGTGTTTGATTTTGGGGTTATGAGTATAAGTCAAACATTGAATATGTTACTCTTGATAGTTTACTGTGACTTTATTCCTTTGTTCTTCAAAAGTTTTCTACAAGTTTCCCCCCTACCATAAATAACAAATATTTTTGAGAATTCCTAAGATGGTTAATGCCTCCCAGCTTGAGGGATGCCTCCCACTATTGTAAGAAATCACTGAAAAATCACACACTATCCCAGTACCTCTGGCTAATCTACGAGGTTTTCAAGTCATTTGACCTTATTGCACGGCTGTTCCACTTCTTTTCTATAAGAACATACACAATACTATTTATTGAGTGTTGAACCCATGCTAGTCACCACTCCAGGCACATAGTAGTTAACATTATCTAATTTAATAAAACAATCCAAAAAATGTTTTAACTTAAAAACCATACCGATTCGCATTTATAAGGTAAAGGTAAGGTAAAGCTCCTCCTGTTGTTCATCGATTTGCTCGAGCGGGCTCAGTAACGTCTCCATTGGAGACTTTTGTTGTTACTGTGTTTGGCATATCGAATACATCACGGGTAGCTTGCCAGGCTTTGCCGTGCGGGCGAGATACTCTCGGTAGCTTGCCAGGCTCTCCGAGAGGGGCGGAGGAATCGAACTCGGGTCCGGCACGTTGGCTGCGTGCAAGGCAAACGACCTACCGCTGTGCTATCACCCCATTTTTTACTTGTAATGTGCTAGAATACATATAGCTTTAAAATTTTATTTTAAGGGGAGGACATATTGCAGTTTTAAACTTTTTGATTAGACATTATTTAGAGTAGAAAAAAACTAATTTTATGTGATTTAGTATCTTGTTTTCTAAAGCAGATGAGTTATATGTGTCGTGATGTAATAGTCAATTGTGTTTAACAACAGGAGGAGCTTTACCTTACCTTTACCTTATAAATGCGAATCGGTATGGTTTTTAAGTTAAAACATTTTTTGGATTGTTTTATTAAATTAGATAATGTTAACTACTATGCTTGAAAAGATTTTTCTAAAGTTTATTATGGTGTTAACTTATAGCAGAGATTTTTAAGCATCTTTTAGTTCAGCAATAGGTTCTATAGTTTATAAAATATACTAAAAATGTGCATTCACACAGGATAGATATGGATCGAGTATTGAACTATATGAAATCTACTCATTTTTAAATACCTTTGAGATCAATTTAAAAAAACTAAATGCCTTCGAAAGTTTTGCTTAGTTTAGTTTTTGCAATCCCTGGGATCGAACTCAGAGCCTCACACTTACTTGTAAGACAAGTACACTTTTGCTGATCTGGATCCCTGGCCTATAATAGTTTAGTTTCCTGCAATAAAAATCTGTTCCAGTTTATTTATTTTTTGTGTTTTGGGAGCAGACCCTGCAGGGTTCAGAGCTTGTTCCTACATCTGTACTCAGGAATCACTCTTGGCGGTCCTGTAGAACCATATGGGGGTGTAGTGGATACTGGATTGACTGCTTGCATGGCAAGCACCCTGCCCACTGTACTATCTCTCAGTCCCTTATTCCATCCAATTTAAAAGTGATCTTACCGGGGCTGGAGCAATAGCACAGCGGGTGGGGCATTTGCCTTTCATGTGACCAACCTGGGTTTGATTCCCAGCATCCCATATCATCCCCTGAGCACCGCCGGGGTAATTCCTGAGCACAGATCCAGGAATAACCCCTGTGCATCGCTAGGTGTGACCCAAAAAGAAAAAAAAAAGTGGTCTTACCATGTTTTAAATGTTAAGTTTTTCTGAGATTTAGGTGCTCTTTATAATGATCTATTAATAGAATATATGCTTTCAGAGCAGTTAGATATGGGCTGGAGAGATAGTACAGTTGATAAGGCACTTGCCTTGCATTCCGCCAATCTGGGTTTGATCCCAAACCATCAGGCGTGATTCCTGAGTACAGAGACAGAAGTAACCCCTGAACACTGCCGGGTATCACCCAAAAGCCAAAAAATGAGCAGTTATATATGATTCAATTTAAACATTTTTCAGAGCTTCTCATAAAAGATTGTCTTCTACTATCCACTCTTCCACCAAAAGTCTATTTGGCTCTCCCTTTCCATGGTCACGGTCACGGTCCTCCCGTTGTTCATCGATTTGCTCGAGCGGGCTCAGTAACATTTCCATTGTGACACTTGTTACTGTATTTGGCATATCGAATACGTCATGGGGAGCTTGCCAGGCTTTGCCGTGTGGGCGAGATACTCTCGGTAGCTTGCTGGGCTCTCCGAGAGGGGCAAAGCGATAGCACAGCGGTAGGGCGTTTGCCTTGCACACAGCCAATATGACTGACCCGAGTTCGATTCCTCCCTTTCCACACTTTTAAAAAATTGTAATTGGTTTATAGTGATACAGAATTCCATGAGTATAGTTTAAAACTTGTGTATAGGATTCATTACACTTATCACCAAAGTTCCACTACTACCCTCCCTCCATAAAG